TGTATGCACATGCCAGCCTAGACATCTCCCTCCTCCTTCTTATGGCAAGTCCAGGAGACGGTGGGTTGGATGCAGCCACAACCGCAGCATCGTCCGGATCCCTGTGGAGGCTTTTTGATGATCATCCCCCGGCACAAGTCCTCCAGAGAGTGCTGATGCCGGAAGTGTTCCCTATTCTTTAATTGAATTTTTAAAGTTACTGAGCTGGAAAAGTTCTTTATATATTCTGGACAAGTTCTTTGTTGTGTACATTTTGGGAATATTTTCTCCTGGTATTTGGCATAGTAGTGTCTTTTGATGAGTAGATTAAAAAAAAAAAAGTTTACTTGTTCAGTTTACCCTTGTTTTACTTCTATGGTTAGTTCTTTCTGTTTTTGGCCCAACAGTTTTTAAGTTAGACTAACATTCTGTGTTACACCTCACAAAAACACCTGTAAATTCCAGGATCTTATAATAGCATAGACCACATTCTTTCAACACAATAGAGTAAATCACAAGTAGAAATCCAAACAGACTCAATACTTGTAACATGTAATACAGTCTGAATATAAAACTCAGTTGTTTTTTGGTTATATTACCAGCCCCAGTATCTTATAAACATGGAAAGATAAATAAACACAAATCAGTTTAGTGCTCATAAAACCTGTCTGTTTACACGTCCCACCTTTCATTCTTCACTTTTGGCTTCATAAATTTCTCCATCAATCTCTTTGTTAAGTAAGTAGTTTTCTTCTCTCAAAGCCTCTTCCTAACAGGGTATAATTTTATGGTTTTTTCAAATGAGTTTTAAAGGTGGCTTATCTTAATGCTTTTTGCTGGCATCTGGAAATTTCTTAGTTATTTTGATGCTGATCCTAAATTTTCAGCACTGTGATTTTTTTCATATTTTTAGGTCAATGTAATGTGAAAATGGAACTTGATCTGTTTTAAGTGAGTTTGGTTTTCTTTTTTAGTGATGATATTACAAGGAGGCATTATTTAAAATATTGTATCTTCTTTGTTTTTCTCAGGACTGGGAATATTTACTAAATTCAGACTACCACCAGAATGTTGAGTCTCATCTTTTGAATAGATCTTTATGTTTGAGTCCTTTGGAAGTTTCACAGATAAAGGATGAGGATGTTTCACAGAATCTCAGTTTGGATTCTTCCACACTTCTCTTTACTCATATACCTGCAATTTTTTTTGTTCTTCACCTTGTCTATGAGGAGCTTAAGTTGAATACCCTAATGGGCGAAGGAATTCGCTCTCTTGTTGACCTTCTTGTTCAATTGGCAAGGTAAATATTGTTTGTAGATTAGAAATTGCCAAGAGGTCCTTTGATGACTTGATCTTAGCGCTGAGTATCATATAAAAACCTTGTAAAGAAATTTCTGAAACTTACCTTCTCAGAAGTCCAGAGCATTTTCTGTAAATCACAGAATTGTTTAAAGATACTGGCTATGTAAGGGCCTTGTGGGCCATACTGGAATTTCTTCTTTATCCCAGAAATAGTGGGAGGTCACAGAAGTGTGTTATCAGTGCGGGTGGCCTGCTCAACTTCTCATTTTGGCAAGAAGACTGGCTACACTATGGTGGAAGTTCTATAATAACACCTGGTGTTATGTAGATACCTGCATTCAAATAGTGTTCACAGTTAATGCACTTGTAGTTGACATGTATAAACTGTCAGGAAAGTAGGTATCATGACCCCTGTTTTGGCGATGACAATGCTTGCCCAAGGTTATTTCTAAGAACATGAATGTTTGCTAGCTGTGGGCTTTTTTTGCTGAGCTCTTGTTGCAATCTGTGGTCATCCCTGTCTTTTAGAATCTTGTATCCACAATAAGATTATCCTAGTAATTTGTTTTAACAGCCTTCTAGCACCTCATGTTTGGTGCTGAATTCTAAAGGTCATAATTGGTGTTTAAGCCGTTGTGACCCTTGGTGATGAAGAAAGCTGAATTTGAATCGAAATGTCAACCTCTGAGTAAAAGTTATAACACATTTTCTCACTTCTATGCTCTTTTAAATTGGCCATTTTAATTGATGGTTAATTTTGTCTTATGACAAATCATTACTATCATGAAAAGTCTTTTGTAATGAAATGATTTCCAAATCCTAATTATGGCTCTCTAAAATATGTAAATAACATCTATATAATGTTTTACATTTTATTATGGTATTTTTCACACATATGTTTTATTTATCTTTAAAATTTCTGAGTTAACCGGTGTTTCCCCATTTCTGAGAAGGAAATACTGAGGTTCATAGACAGACTTGCTGAAGATCACACTAATAAATAACAGAGGAGGAACTAGATTACAGTGTTTTTACTTGAGTTTTATCTACATAAAATTTATCTAGCAAAAGGGGTTTGGGTTGCATTTATTGTATTAGGCCCTTGAAAGTCCAGAAATAGAATAGAGAGACTCAGATTTATCTTTTTTCTTGTAAGGAAATTTTTTTCATTGAAAAGTTCAGCTGGTGAATTTGGACTTTGTGGAGGGAAAATGCTGTTTTACCTTTCTTGTTATTTCTTTCTTATATGCTCTTATTGTTTTAGAGATTTAAAGTTGGAGCCTTACATAGATCACTACTATAGAGATTACCCAACGCTTGTCAGAACTACTGGACAAGTATGCACCATTGATCGAGGTAAGTGTTTGTGCCATTACAGATTTTCTGAATTACAGTACCGTTTGCTTGTTTCTTTCTCAGTAAATAGCAAAGGACATATTTCTTACTGTTAGCCTCTAAGTCAGAGGCAGGGTCTTTGTGCCAGGCAGGTTTTAGTTTGTAGTGCTTGATCTCTTACTTGTAGATCTTAGTGTGGGGAAGAAATTTTGCCCACCCCTGAGTGCCAAGGATGCTTTGCCCTAGTCTGTTGCTGTCCACTTAGTAGCCACCAGCCATGTTTTATTTAAACTAATATGGAAACTTCAGTCTCCTTAGTTGCACTAGCATATTTCAAGTGCTCAGTATTCCCATAGGGCTAGTGGTTGCCATATTGGGCAGTGCAGATGTAGAACATTTTCATCATCACTGTATTGCCTAGACCTCGTGTGAAAGGGACTCAAGGTTGGGGCCCAAATTAGAGCAGAATTCTGGGTGTCTCTTCTGTTTTTTCCACCATTAGGGTTAGGGCAAAAAATTTTGATTTAGGTTGTTTATATACCTTGAAAATAAGACTTTGTTAAATTTCCATCCAGGAAGGGATAAAATAATAATCATTTAAATTCTACATATTATAATATAGTCAGTTACTTACTGTGGCAGAAAACATGAAGCGTTTTAGAGAATGTAGAAGAATTCTACTCCAATTCATTCCAAATGACAGGTACTGTTGATCATTTTTCCTTTAGGATAAAATGGTACTGTCTTAATATAGTCTTTTGTCTTTATACACGTTTGTCTAATTCTGAAGGTCAAGCAGGATTTATGCATCAACCACCATTTTTTACTCCTGAGCCACCAAGTATTTATCAGTGGGTGAGTTCTTGTCTGAAGGGTGAAGGAATGCCGCCCTATCCTTACCTGCCTGGAATCTGTGAGAGAAGCAGACTTATAGTCTTGGTATGTAGTCCAAGTGTTCCTAACTTGTTAACTTTTTTCTTTTTAAATTAAATTAAAAAAATTATACAAAAAATTAACTTTTTTTCATTTTGTGTACATGTCTGTGAATTTCAACAACTGTATCAATTCACGTAATCACTACCATAATTAGGATACAGGACAGTTTTGTCAATGCTAAAAAATTCCCTCATGGGTTTGAGACTCATCCAAGTTGTTGCCTGTAGGAGCAGTTTGTTGCATTTGAGTGCTAGTCTGTTATATGGATGTATCACGTTGGTGTTCTATTCACTCACTAAAGATATTTGGGTTGGTTCCAGTTTTTAGAATAATGAATACAGCTGCTGTAAACATCCATGTCCAGGTTTTTATGTGAACATAAAAATTTTCATTTCTGTAGGGTAGATACTCAGAGGTGGAATTGATGGTCATATAGTAAGTGTATATTTAGTTTTTTAAGAAACTGTCAACTATTTTTCAGAGTGGCTGTACCATTTTACATTCTTATCATCAGTGTGTGAGAGTTACAGTTTTTCTGTATTCTTGTCAGTGTTTTTTATGGTATTGTCATGATTTTTAATTCTTGCCATTTTGATAAATGTGTAGTGATATCTCATGTGGTGATAATTAGAATTTTCTTAATGGCTGATGATGTTGAGAGTTCTGAATGTAAGGTTTTGACAGATACGTGAATTGCAAATATTTTTTCCTGGTTTGTAGCTTGTCATGGTTCATCATTTCTTAATGTTTCTTCTGCAGAGCAAAAGTTTAATTTTGATGAAGCCATTTTATCCAGTTTTTCTTTCATGGATATGCTTTTGGTATCATGTCTTAAGAACTCATTGTTTAACTTCAGGTCACAAAGATTTTCTCCTCTATTTCTTTTTAGATGTTTTATAGTTTCACATTTTGCATTTAGATCTATGATCCATGCATCTATTTTGTGAATATTTTGTAAGTTCTGAGGCTTAGGTCAAAGCTTTTTCTGTGAATTTTTTGTAAATTCTGAGGCTTAGGTGAAAGCTTTTATTCCATTTGGGTGTCTAGTTCTTTTAACACCATTGTTGAAAAGACTATCCTTTCTCTTTTGCTTTTGCAGTTTCATCAAAAATCAATTGATCATATCCTTGTGTATCTATTTCTGGACTTAATCTGTTCTGGTCCACTGGTCTATGTTGCACCCCACACTTCCTTCATTACTGTAGCTTTGTAGTAAGTTTTAAAATTGGCTCCTCCTTCCCTTACCAAAGGGAAACTGTTTTAGCTATTTTAGTTCCTTGCCTTTTCATTTAAATTTTTATCATCAGCTTGTCTGTAGCTACAAAAAAACCTACTTGAATGTTTTTCCCAAAGAGATGCATCCTTATTTATTTTTAAAAATTAGTTCATTTTGAATAGTTAATACATGTCCAAGGACAAACTTTCAAAAATAACCAAAGGATGCTTGTAAAGGTGAGTTCCTTCATGTTCCTGTCCCTAGAACAGCCTACTTGTTGGTCGTTTGTGGTTCTTTCCAGAGTTAGGGCCTTCCCAGGCTTACGGGGAAACCTTAATCTTTTGTCTCCTTGTACGTGTCAGTTGGTGGTAAATGGCCTTGTACCCCACCAGTCTTTTCTTTTACATTCTACTTTACTTCCTGTTGAGAAAGGCTTCAAAAGCCTCTTGTTGCTCTGAAATAACATGTAGAATGGTGACTTTTGAAAAAAATGGTGATAAAATATACATAGTTATTTTGACTGTTTCTATGTGTACAATTCAGTGGGATTACATTTGCAGTGTATTAAATGCAGCTTAATCCCTGAACTTCCACATTCTTTGCTGCTTGTGTGGAAACATCTAACTGAAACCAACCAAGAGTATTGGTCCAGTCCAGTTCTGCTGAATGAAGGTGCACTTGGTGTATATCTACACAAAAAAGAGCCAAAAGATATGAATATATCAACATTGTTCAGCCTCCAACTTAAATTGTATCAGTTAGCTTAAGATGCTCCTGTAACTTTCCTTTGTTAGATATGATGTCGACTAGATTCAGTAACATACCAATTGCAGTGCTTATATTGGTTTTAAATATAGGGTTTTAAGATCCTCCAGCTTTGTATTAAAACTTCAACACAGTCATCTTACTATCCCCCCCTCTCCCCAAAAAAAGAACCCACCACAGGTGCACATCTTGGTATTCCTAGCAACTTCAGATGAGAACTTTGAAGGCCAAAGTAGAGAAGGATCAGGGTTAGAGGGCTAGGACTTGCCTAACCAGACATAACCCAGATACCCCTCGGTTTGAATAGAGAAACCAAGTTTGGTACATCTGTGTAATGGAATACTGCTTAGCAGTAAAAAGAAACTAGTGATACAGGCAGTAATGCGAATGAATCTCAGTCAGAGTTAGGACACAGAAAACTACATATCCTATGATTCCATTTACATGACATTGTAGAATAGGTAAAACCATAGAGAAAGAAAACCAATGAGTTGTTTCTGGTGCTGAGTGTAGGAGGAGTGGATTGACTACAGAGGGTACATTATGGCCCATCAGGCCACACTTCCTTTCCTTGACAATCTCACCATTGTCCATATAATAAGGTTGGAGGTGTTCTATATCATGAGTGTGGTAGTGGTTATGTCATTGTATAATGTTTGTCAATACTCAGAGCTGTACACCCAAAATGGATGAATTTTCCTATGTGCAATTATATCTTGGTCGTTTAAAAAATAATACTGTTGATTTTCTCTTTACACAGAGCATTGCACTCTACATACTGGGTAACGAGAGCTCTGTTTCTGATGAATCCTCACAGTATTTATCCAGAATAACTGTAGGTAAGTCCATAGAATAATGTTAGGCTTCCCAAAACAAGTTTTTTATAAATGTTAATATTAGAATTAAAATTAAAAAAACATTTTAAATGTTTGCTTTAGAGGCCACATTTTGCCTCATTTTAGAGGTATGTCTTACACTGTTCTAGCCTATGGTCTGCAGCTGATTATCAGAGACCAGGATTACATAAAATCTAAAAAACTTTATATTTTCAGTGTTCCTAAGATGGACAGTTTTTTAGCTGGAGGGAAATTCCCCAAATTATTGTATTTTCCGGCCTGCCATAGTACTGCTTATTTTATTATTTTTTAGGGGTTGTTTTATTAATAAATTTTTATTTCCAAATTGTCTTCTACATGTTATATTTTCTTTACCAGGTTAACTATCATATTAAAACTTTATTTTGTTGCCTTTTAGTCCCCCAGAAGTCACAAGCAGAACAAGAGGAAAACAGGTGACTTATTCAGATTGTGCTTTTATATTAAAAACATAAAATACTACTGTGTTTTACTGTTCTGTTTAATAACTTTGTGTTTTGTTCTTTTACAGATTCAGTTCCAGGCATTCTACATCAGTTTCTAGTCTAGCTGAAAGATTAGTTGTCTGGATGACTAACGTAGGTAAGGTGTCTTTGTGAGAACCCCCCCTGCTTTCCCTGGATACCTCCCTAAGTAGGCCTTGCTTCTTTCAAGTGAGCTGGACCTGAGGGGCATGGGGAGCAGGGGGCTCTCCGTGAAAGGGTCTTGCAGGATTGAGATTATGGCCCATCAGGCCACACTTCCTTTCCTTGACAATCTCACCATGCCCATGTAATATCTGGCAACCAACTTTTTATTTCTTAGGTGGGTAAGAAATCTTTGCCATTCACTTTAGACCAGTCAAGGTTGTGGCTATGGTCTGGTCTCAGGATGGAGAACTCTAGGCATGAAAATGCAGGTTCAGTTGGGAAGAGGGAAAAGGAAGAAAAGAGTTCTCCATTCTCTATTGCCAAAGCCTATGTTCTTAGACTTTTTTTGTGTGTGTGTGTGTGCAATAGAACATATTTGCAGAAAAGTATACAAAAATATAAATATACAGCTGAATGATTTACCACAAAGTGCACATGCATGTAACCACCACTGAAAAGTGAATGTTTCCAGTGTCCCAGAACCCTTCCCTTGTTCTTATAACCTGTCCTTTCCACTCAGAGGTAACCACTATTGTGATATTTATGGTAATTATTTCCTTTTTTTCAATTTTTCAATTTTTTTATTTTGGTATCATTAATCTACAATTACATGAGCAATATTATGTTTACTAGACTCCCCCCATCATCAAGTACCCCCCCACATACCCCATTACAGTCACTGTCCATCAGTGTAGTAAGATGCTGTGGAATCACTACTTGTCTTCTGTGTTGTACAGCCCTCCTCGTGTCCCCCACCCTCCGACATTATGTCTGCTAATCGTAATGTCCCTTTATTTCCCCTTATCCCTCCCTTCCCACCCATCCTCCCCAGTCCCTTTCCCTTGGATAAGTGTTAGTCCATTCTTGGGTTCTGTGAGTCTGCTGCTGTTTTGTTCCCTTCAGTTTTTCTTTTTTGTTCTTATCCTCCACAGACGAGTGAAGTCATTTGATACTTGTCTTTTTCCGCCTGGCATATTTCCTTTTTTTTTTTT